CCGATGTACAGCATGTACCTCAGAATCATCCCACCCAAGAGGTGAAGGAGTTGGTATATTTCTATACTAATTCCGCCAATCATTGGTTGAGGGTTGCCCCGGGGGTGTGGCTTCTCAGCACTTTTAACTTCAAGCAGAGTTGCAGAAGAAAATGGTTGGAGTTGTTAGGGCTTCAGTACATGGGTCGCCCATGGTGCTTGCTCCCCTTGTTCCTGACCCTCAGGTTGCTCTCCAGACACAGCCATAACGTTTCATGTGCATCCTTGGAGACATTTTTGCATACATAAGTATAAATGGATATGTGTAAATAGATGTATTTTTTCCATTTATCCAAATGGGCTTATTCCATATATACTCTTCTGCCCATTGCTTTTTTGTTTTTTGTTTTGTTTTCATTGAGACAGGGTCTCTGTTGCCCAGGCTGGAGTGCAGTGGTGTCATTATGGCTCACTGTAGCCTCAACTTCCTGGCCTTAAGCCATCCCCCTGCCTCAGCTTCCTAAGTAGTTGGGTCTACAGGCGTGTGCCAACATGCCTAGCTAATTTATTATCTTTTTTAGAGATGGCGTCTCACTATGTTGCCCGGGCTGGTCTCAAACTCCTGGGCTCAAGCAATCCTCCCTCCTTGGCCCACCAAAGTGCCGGGATTACAGGTATGAGTCATTGCATCTGGCCTGCACTTTGCTTTTTGCGCTTAATAATATACTTTGGAGATTCTCCATTGGAGTCATTTATTTAATTCCTTTTCTTGGCTGTCCTTATTACAAACAAGTTCAGACTGAAAGAGAAAAGAGCTGCAATGGCTTGGCTGAAAGAATGCAAAGAAACTTGTGTTTAGCTCATGGATTTAAAAGGCAAGCTGTTTGTTGAGATTGCAGAGTTTGGTTTAAGGCATTTTGGGATGGCGTGATTTTCCTGTTAAAAACAAATGAGAATTTGCTTGGTGATAAACTCAAGCAGTGTGTGGGCTGATTAGACAATGGAACATGCAATCAATGTATTAACCTCCTAGGATGACTGCAGTAGCAGATGGCAGCTGTCTCCGAGGTGAGGCATCCTTAGCTTGTCCTGAACAGAGGCATCAGAAGTCCTGGGTTGGGACCCTAACTCTGCTGTTGACTTGTGTCATTTTTGAAGCCTCTTGGACTTTCAGGGTCTCTGTTTTCTTGTCTGTTAGGTGAGGATGCTAATGCCTATTCTACCTCCTCTCAATGGGTTTGATGTGTAGACAGGCCAGTGTTGCAAATCCAAATGTCTTCAGGGCTATGCAGGCAAGTAAATCAGTCAATTGAGCTGTTGTAAGTAATAGGGAGTAGTGGGGACTATAGCTAAGAGGAGAATAAATGACATACAAGCTCACACACACATTTCTCATCTCCCTTGTTTGAACATTTAAGCAAATACTATCCTGACAAGATAAAGTACATCTGTGGAATACTTGCAGCCTTTCAGCCAGAGATGACATCCTATAAATTTGAGATATAACCTCCATGGAAAGGAGTGGCTCTGTTGTGACTATTTGCTAGCCTCAACCCTACTGACTCTTTCAAAACCCACGTTCTTCCACTTCAATTGTCCCTTCCTGCAGCAGTCAAGAGATGCTTGAAGTTGGCTGCAGAAATGACTCCAAAATGTCAGTGGCTTGAAATAGCAAAGATTTATTTCTTGCCCACAGTACTCATCCATTGGCCATGAAATTGAGACTGACCTTAACATCCTCACTCATGAAGCCTGATGGGAACTCAGATTTTATTCTCTGACAGGTTTTAATCTCTGCAAACAAACAAGTGAAAGATATACATGCACACAACTTAAACATCAAATAATACTGCAAAAACTTAAGACTTAAAAAGTAGTAGTCCTGTGCCTCATCTCTACACACCATATTCTGACTCTCAGAGGCCACCATTTTCAGGTGGTGACAAATGCTGTGGGAGAAATAAGGGCATCAAAGGGGTTAAGGAGTGCTCTGCTGTGGAGGCATTTCAGTTTTAAGTAGAACATTGAGAAAGTGACGTTTGAGAAAAGGATGCAGGGAGTGATTTACATGGATACCTAGCAGGTAAGCTGTCTAGGTAGAGAAATGGCAAAGTGCAGGGATGGGAGTGTTCTGGGCTGTTCTGGATCAGTGTTCCTCGCAGAGGGCTAGAAGACCCCTGAGGGTCTTGATGTAATGCATAGTCTCAGTGGGGTCGGAGCAGGACCTGAGACTCTGCATTTCTAATAAGCTCCCAGTTGATGCTAATGCTGCTGGTCTATGGACCACATTTTGAGAAGCAAGGTCCTAGAAGAAGTTAGGAAGTCAATGGGCTGGAGCCGAATGAGAGAAATGGGCAAGTAGAATGAACTGATGACAGAAAGGTAATAGGGGGCCAGATCGTGCCATGCTTATAGGCCACTGTAAGGACTTGAGCTCATATTGCAAGTGACACAGAAGCAGAAAAGTGACTTGATCTGGCTTATGTTTTGGAATAGGTTCTAGGAAGGCAAAGGCTACTAGGAACTAATCCAGGTGAGAGATGGTGGTGCTCTGGGCTGGGAGGAGGTGGTGGGATGGGAGAAGTGGGGAGAGCCAGCAGGCTTTCTGACAGGTTGGTTGGAGGCATGAAAGAGGAGTTGCTTGAGCACCTGGAAGGGTGCAGTTGCCATTTCTGCCCCACGTCTCACATCTATCTTCTCTCTCCAGTTCCACTGCCACTTCTCCAGGTTAGGCCACATCAGTTCACACTACTGTCATTGCCTTTGAACAGATACTATAAACATATTTTTCTTGAGAAATGGTTTTGTTCAGTCCCAACCTTTGTAAAGACCTTGTGGTTGCTCACAACATCCATGGTTTAGCAGGGAGAAGCCTTCATGAACTGGCCTTTCTCCATGCTTTTATGTCATCACTCTGCTTCATGAACTAATTGTTCTTGCCCAGGGCTTCACTACCGTCTCCCCATCATGATGTATAAAGGATGCTGAGCTGTGAGATATTTGCAAACATTGGCACAGTCACCGTAAGGCCACCATGTTGTCTCCCAGTCAAATGCTTTAATCCACTTTGGCTGTGTATACTTTTTTAAAAAGAAGAGATTATTTCATTCTGTTGGAGTGATGCGGCGTGACCTCCTGGGCTCAGGTGATCCTCCCACATCAGCCTCCTGATGCAGGCATGCACTACCATGCCTGGCTAATTAAAAAAAAAACATGTTTTAAAATTTTTTTTATTTTTTTTTTTAATAGAGATGAGGTCTCACCATGTTGCCAAGGCTGGTCTGGAACTCCTGGCCTCTAGCAATCCTCCCACTTCAGCCTCTCAAACTGCTGGGATTACAGGTGTGAGCCACCATGCCTGGCCTGGATGTATATACTTTAAGAAAGCAAACCATTTTCAAACTTTCCTTACTGTTCTTTTATCATTACATCAAATTACTTACATCTGTGCTACTCAATGTGGCGTGTATAGACCAGCAGCATCACCTGGAAGCTTGATAGAAATACAAGTTCCTGGACCCCACCCTAGACCTACTGAATGAGAGTTTCTGACAGCAGGGTCCAGGAATCTGTTTTAATGAGCTCCTGAGGATATTCTAACACATACTAAAGTTTGAGAAGGAGTGCCTATCACACCTCAAATTGAACATCAGTAGGTCCCCACACCATACTTGAGAACAGCTGATTTAGCCTAGTGGGTGCAACTCTGACTATACAAGAATCATCAGGGGAGCTTTAAAAAACAAAAACCAAACCAGCAATGGTTGGGCCCCCACGACCAGCGATTCTGCTTTAATTGGGCTAGGGTGGGATCCAAGTGATTCTAACACGCAGCCAGGTCTGAGAACCTCGCAAGCTGGCAGATGGATCTCCGTTCTGTTTCCCACACACAGCCATATTTTCTGCCTCATACTGTTCTCTCTTCCTGGAGTGCTCATTCATACCATCTCCATGTTGCCAACTCTATTCCTTATGGAAAGCTGAGCCCAGATTCAACTCCTGCACACATTGGCCCCTGAGCTTCTCCTCCCCTCAGCTCCTGCTGCATCTGAGCTGCACTTTCCTCACTACCCAAATTCTCTTCTACCTTTGTCACATTTGTTACTTTATAAATCTCTTACTACATAAAGTTTGGTGTAATATCCATTTCTGATCTGTTTTATATCTTTTCAGTGACCCAGAAAATGGTGGATGGATGCTTAAAAAATGTTTGTGGTGAAAGAATGGTTCATGTAGCATCAGAGCGTATTCACTTTTTATTGAAATCTCATGGGTGGCTGCTTTGGCGCTTGTGGCCGAATGTGACCCTTACATTGTACTCTGTTAAAATTAGTCCTCATTCCATGAAAAACTGTTCCTCAAACTGTGTCCTATGCAGTATTTGTGGTCAGCATATATTAATACTATTCCATAGAACAAATGTTATTTAATCAGAGAATAAAAATTAAGAAATATTACAAACCACATGATTGCTGCATGTATCAGTCAGGATTCTCTAGAGGGACAGGACTAATAAGATAGATGTATATATGAAAAGGAGTTTATTCAGGAGAATTGACTCACACAATCACAAGGTGAAGTCCCACAACAGGCTGTCTGCAAGCTGAGGAACGAGGAAGCCAGTGGTGGATCAGTTTGAGGTCCAAAACCTCAAAAGTAGGGAAGCTGACAGTGCAGCCTTCAGGCTGTGGCCAAAGGCCTGAGAGCCCCTGGCAAAACACTGGTGTAAGTCCAAGAGTCCAAAAGCTGAAGAACTTGGAGTCCAATGTTTGAGGGCAGGAAGTATCCAGTATGGGAGAAAGACGAAGGCCAGAAGACTCAGCCAGTCTAGTCCTTTCCTGTTCCTCTGCCTGCTTTTATCCTAGCTGTGCTGGCAGCTGATTAGATTGACATTTGTGTCAGTAGACTAGGAGAGGCAGACCCATGAATTGAGGGTGGGTCTGCCTCTCCTAGTCCACTGACACAAATGTCAATCTCCCTTTGGCAACACCCTCACAGACACACCCAGGAACAATACTTTGCATCCTTCAATCCAATCAAGTTGACACTCACTATTAATCTGCACATCACTCTTCAGGTTTTCCTACCATCCCCAGACCACAGAGATTCTTAGTCTTTCTTCTTACTATTACTTTTCTTTCCACAGAGCAGGAATTCCTATAAGATAAAAGTAACCATTTGAAAGTGAACACTTCAGTGGCATCTAGTACGTTACCATGTTGTGTAACTGCTACATCTATCTAGTTCCAAAACATTTTTATCCCCCCAAAAGGAAACTATCTACCCACAAGCAGTCATTCTCCATTTCCACCCAACTCCCAGCCCCTGGCAACTAGTAATCTGCTTTCTGTTTCTATGGATTTGCCTATTCTGGACATTATTTTATTTACTTTTTGAGATGGAGTCTTGCTCTGCCACCCAGGCTGGAGTGTAGTGGTGTGATCTTGGCTCACTACAACTTTTACCTCCCGGGTTCAAGTGATTCTCCTGCCTCAGCCTCCGGAGTACCTGCTATCACAGGTTCTCTGCCACCACGCCTGGCTAATTTTTGTATTTTTAGTAGAGATGGGGTTTCACCATGTTGGCCAGGCTGGTTTTGAACTCCTGACCTCAAGTGATCTGCCCACCGTGGCCTCCCAAAGGGCTGGGATTATAGGTGTGAGCCACTGTGCCCAGCCTGGACATCATTTCATATACATGGAATCATGCAATATGTGGCTTTTTGTGTTTGGCTTCTTTCTCAGAGCATAATGTTTTCCAGGCTTCTCAGTTTCTGTTTACAGCTACTTTTTTTTTTCTACTTATCTCTCATATATTGCTTTTTCTTTTTTTTTTTTTTTCCCCAAAGCTCTACTCTTAGCTTCCTTTCCTTTTAACCTTTGTGGTCTCCCTAAATGGTTTACTCTATTTCTGTAGGATCTAATACTACAAATAGACCCACAATTGCTCCGTGTCTGCTCCTGGCCCAAATTTCTCTCCTGGATCCAGAGCCGTGTATTTAATTGCTCACTGGACCACTCTGGTTCTGTCACCTGCAATTATAGGAAAACCTCCTCTTTGCCTTCTCTCTTCTTGAATTTGCTAGTTTACTCAATGTTGACATTTCCCCCAGTTTCCCAAGTCAGGGGCTCACCTCCCTATCAGGGTGGTAAATTATAGCACAGAGGCAAGCGCTTAGAAAGACCTGAAACCTGTTTGAAGATCAGCACATCTGATAAATCTGCAATGTTTGTCTTGTATGTCCATTATATATAATGGGGACATTAAGACATTTGGAATATTTAAACTGGAAAAGAGAAATCATAGAACCTATTATTTTTAAGGATTTGAAGGCCTACCACATGGATGAGATCTTGTGCTTATGTGTCCACAAGACGGTCCACTATTGCGCATGATATTGAATTGGCTAGCCATTAAACCTCCTTCCAACTCTGTGATTCTCAAAGACAGAAGACAAGGACTAATTTTATATCTGTATTATTTCGTTTTCATGCTACTGACAAATATATATACCCGAGACTGGGCAATTTACAAAAGAAAGAGATTTAAAGTTCCATGTGGCTGGGGAGGTCTTGCAATAATGGCAGAAGGTGAAAGGCCTGTCTCATATGGCAGCAGACTTGTTAGATCTACTCACTATCACAAGAGCAGCACAGGAAAGACCTGCCTCCATGATTCAATTACCTCCAGCTGGGTCCCTCCCACAACACATGGGAATTCAAGATGAGATTTGGGTGAGGACACAGCCAAACCATATCAATATCTATAGTTACATAGGAGCTTGGCAAAGAACTAAATCCTACACTCTAAGCAGTAAAATTCTATAAGCTAGCATGTGGAAAAGAACACAAAAGGCGTGCAGTAGATTACTTGCAAAAAAGGCTGCAATAATTTCTCCCATCCCTGTATGCACATCCTCTGGCAATGTGACTCAAATCTCTTCTCGTTAAGAGGTGGAGTTTATTTTTCCACTCCTCTAATCTGGGCTTGTCCATGTGATCTGCTTTGGGTAATGGGACATCAGCAAATGTGAAGAAAGCAGAGGCTTATACAGTGCTTGCATGCTGTGGCTTGTCCTCTTTTGTTGCCTTTGGGGCCCTTGTGATTATTACTATGTGAACAAACCCAGGCTAGCTTGCTGGAGACATGTGGCCCAGTCACTCCTATTACTTTAGCAGATAACCATAAGACAGCCAGCTCCAAACCCAGATATGTGATTGAGGCCATCCTAGACCAACCAGCCCATGGCTGACCGATCAGCTGACTGCCGCTACAAGAGTGAGCTCAGGTGAGAGAGGCAGAAGACCCACCTAGCTGAGCCCAGCCTAACTAACCAACTCATAGAATGAGGAGTCAATAAATGGTTAAATCACTAAGTATGGGGATGAGTTGTTACATAGCAAAAGCTCACTTACACAAGGGGCAAATTTTCTGATCAAAAGAATCATAAGAGGCCAGGTGCAGTGGCTCATGCCTGAAATCCCAGCACTTTGGGATTGGGGCAGGCAGATCACCTGAGGTTAGGAATTAGAGACCAGCCTGGTCAACATGGCAGAATCCCATCTCTACTAAAAATACAAAATTTAGCTGGGTGTCTTGATGCACACCTGTAATCCCAGCTACTCAGGAGGCTTGAGGCATGAGAATCTCTTGAATCCAGGAGGCAGAGGTTGCAGTGAGCTAAGATCATGCCACTGCACTCCAGCCTGGGCCACAGAACGAGATTCCATATTAAAAAAAAATCATAGAAGTTATGTATTTTAAAAAATCCTAGAGGCAAGAATAAAATAATAGTCATTAATTTTTAAAATTAGGAGAAAATGTAACCTCTATGAAGGAAAATCCACACTTATCTTTTTTTTTTTTTTTTTTTTTGAGATGGAGTCTTGCGCTGTCACTCTGGCTGGAGTGCAGTGGTGCAGTCACGGCTCTCTGCAGCTTGACCTCCCAAACTCAGGTGATTCTCCCACCTCAGACCCCCAAGTAGCTACGACTACAAGTATATGCCACCACACCTGGCAAATTAAATACTTTTTTTTTTGTACAGAGGGGGTGATACGGTTTGGCTTTGTGTCCCAACCCAAATCTCATCTCAAATTGTAATCCCCACATGTCAAGGGAGGGACCTGGTGGGAGGTGATTGGATCATGGGGGCGGTTTCCCCCTTGCTGTTCTTGTGATACTGAATGAGTTCTCACGAGATCTGATGGTTTAAAAGTATCACTTCCCCATTCACGCGTTCTCTCTCTCTTTCTCTCTCCCTCCCTCCCCCCCCCCCCCCCCCTCCCCCCCCCTCTCCCTCCCTCTCCCTCCCTCTCTCTCTCTCTCTCTCTCTCCTGCTCCAACATGATAACGAGGGGCATGCTTCCCCTTTGCCTTCACCACGATTGTAAATTTCCTGAGGCGTCCCCAGGCATGAGAAAATGTGAGTCAATTAAACATCTTTTTAAAAATAAATTGCCCAGTCTCAGGTATGTCTTTATAGCAGTGTGAAAATAGACTAATACAGAGAGCCTCACTATGTTGCCCAGACTGGTCTCAAATTCCTGGGCTCAAGAGTTCCACTTGCCTTGACCTCCCAAAATGTTGGGATTCCAGGCATGAGCCATTGCACCTGGCCTCTTATACTTACTTTGAATCAATTTGTTCATCAGAAAATTGGGGCTCATGCATCATGAGGTGGTTAGGAGAAAACAAATCAGGTAATATGTGTAAGTTATTTAGCACTATAACCTACATTACATGCCTCGTAAAGCCTGAATCTTTCACTTTCCCTTCGGACTTGTCCGTCTGGTGTTGCTGCCAGATTCTATGGCACTCAAAAGAAGAAAAAAGGCGTTGTAAAGTCTTTTTTTAGAAAGATAAAAATATATCTCCTCCCTTTGAAAAGTGGAACAAGAGTAATTGATATAAACACGACTTGCAAAAACTGATAATAAATTTTTGTTTTCATTTTGAAAACCTTTTTATTTTGGAATTATTTTCATATAGAAAAGTTATACAGACAGGGCAGAGTTCCTATATACCCTTACCCAGTTACATTTATTGTTAACATTATATATAACTGTGGTACATGTGTCAAAACCAAGAAATTAACATTGGCACATTCCTATTAAATAAAACTACAGGCTGTAGCTAAATTTTACCAGATTTTCCACTAATATCCTTTTTCTGCTCCAAGATCCTACATTGCTTTTAGTTGTCATGTCCCCTTAGTCTCTTCTGTGACAGTTTCTCAGTCTTTCTTTGGCTTTTGTGACCTTGAGGATTTTTTGACTCATACTGGTCAGGTATTTTGTCAAATATCCCTCAATTTGGGCTTATCTGATATTTTTCTCATGTTTAAATTGGGGTTATGGGTTTTGAGAATCCCTCAGAGGTAAAGTTCCCTTCTCGTCACAACATATCATATCAGGTTGTCCATAACATCAGCAGAACTTACCACTGTTGATGTTGACCTTGATCACTTGGATAATATGGTATCTGCCAAGTTCTTATGAAAGCTGTTATTTTCCCCTTTCTGTACTTTTTTCTTTGGAAGCTTCACTAGTCTAGCCTACATTCAAATTGGGGAGGGAGAGTGAGGCATGATGGCTTACACCTGTAATCTCAGCACTTTGAGAGGCTGAGGCAGGAGGATTGCTTGAGCCCAGGAGTTTGAGATTAACCTGGACGATATAGTGAGGTGCCATCTCTTTAAAAAAATTAGCTGGGCATGGTGGCTTATGCCTGTAGTCTCAGCTACTTGGAAGTGTTGAGGTGGTATAATCGCTTGAGCCCAGGAGGTTGAGGCTCCAGTGAGCCAAGATCACACCACTGTACTCCAGTCTGGGCAACAGAGCAAGACCCTGTCTCTAAAAAAGATGGAGATGGAGAGTCAGTCCTACATCTTGGAGGGGTTAGTATCTATATATTTGGAATTATTCTGTAAGGAGGATTTGTTGCTTCTCTCCATATATTTATTAGTCAATTGTTTATCAGTAGAGACTCAAGTATTTTTATTTCATACTTTGGGTTACAATCCAACACCGTATTATTTATTTTGTTGCTCAGATTGTCCAGTTTGGTCACTTGGAGCTCCTTTGAGAGTGGCTTATGTGCCCCTTTGACATGCTGCCATCCTTTTATTTTGTTTTGAGTATATTAGCTTTGATGTACAACTTGGTTTTCTTCCCCATCTATCCACCAAAATTGCTTTAAGGTCCTTCAGATGGCAGTGGTTTCCAGATTGTCTACTTTTATCTCTAGTTTATCAGACCTCTCTGTAACATTTAATACTGTAAATCTTGTTCCTTCAAATTCTATTTTATTTGAAAAATTTACTATGAAATTCTTAAACAAAAACAAAAGTAGAGAGAATAGCATACTGCATCTCCATGTATCCATCAGTGAGCTTCAGTAATTCTCAACATTTTGCTACTCTGATTTCAACTGCTGCCTTTTCCATGCCCTGTCACTGGATCACTTTAAAGAAAACCCCAGATATCATATCAGCTTAACCTGTAATAGTTCAGTGTCTTTAACAGATAAAAACGTAAAAAAACCCATAAAACAATTATTACACCTAACAAAGTTAATAAGTCTTTAATATCTTTTAACACTCAGTCTATACTCAAATTTCTCCAATGATCTCAAAGTGTTTTAATAATCAATTTGTCCAAATTAGGATTCATACAAGTTCCACACCATATCCTGTAACATCTCCTCGCCCTTGACAGAGTTTTGCTCTGTCACCAGGCTGAGTGCAGTGGTACAATCTGGGCTCACTGCAACCTCTGCCTCCTGGGTTAAAGGGATTCTCCCACCTCAGCCATTCTGACTAGCTGGTACTACAGGTGCGTGCCACCATGCCCAGCTAATTTTTGTATTATTAGTAGAGACGGGGTTTTACCATGTTGGCCAGGCTGGTCTAGAACTCCTGACCTCAGGTGACCCGCCTGCCTTGGCCTCCCAAAGTGCTGGGATTACAGGTGTGAGCCACTGGGATTACATCTGAGCCATCCTAGGCTGGTTCATCACCTGGCCCAAGTCACCAAGCCATGGGATGTCTATTTCTTCAGTGTCTCTGGAATGAGTCCCTTCTTCTCGTTGACTTAGTCTGAGTTCTAAAATTCAGACAAAGAGTGCAAATGCATTATCCAGAAACACACGTTCTCAAGCCCAGCAGGGACTAGACCCTAACCTCATGCTCAGCTCTACATTCAGCTCAGCTCCTGTGCTTTGAATACATGTACCTTCCACTTCCTGTGAATGTGGTTGTTAGAGCCAGATTTCAGCATGCTGGAACAGCTAATGGCAGTGAAGTTGGGAGTCAGAATATCTGGATTTGAAGACCACATTCATCACTTGAAATGAACTTGGTTATGTTAGTTAATTTCTCTGTGCTTCAGTCTCCTCATCTGCAAAATGAGAATAATATTCCTGCAACACATATCTGATATTCCCAAAGCTCTGAAAACTGGAAGGGTTTTTCTTGTTTTAAAATTTGTTTGGCAGCACAACCTGACTTGACTTAATGATTTGATGACAAAACCTGAGCTGGAGGGAATTGAGGATGTTTATGGTGTGTATTTATCCTACTTAGAATATTCTTCTCTTTATAGTCCAGCTATCTTGGTGGCAGGCTACCCTAGCCCACTGGGACAAGTTCTAGTATAAACTGTTTTATTTTTCAAAAGTAAGAAAATATCTACATTCTGAAACACACATAATCTAAGGGTTTTGGAAAACAGGTTTTGTACCTGTAATAGCTACCTCATATGTTTGTCATAGATGGATTGCTAAAGAAATTCGTATTTGTAAAGCAATTAGAAGAGTGTGAGGCTTACAGTAAGCCCTATTTAAGTGTTTGATAAGGTACATATTTCCTGTAACATTTAACCTTAGAAATGAGGTGAAAGATAAACTATTTTGTCAGAACAGAGTTCGATAAATTTAGGGGCCTCCATCAAAGCTGAGTTACTACCATTACTTTTCTGTTCTAAGACAATCAACATTAGACAGATAGAAAAACCCCTTTTGAGTGGCATCAAAACCTCTCCCTACTCAGAACTAACCACTATTCTGAAGTTGGGGTATATGCGAATCTTTTCCATGCATGTTTCTAGATTTTAGTACATACGCATGCATGGTGTGTATTTTTAAAACTTACAGCTAAATGTTTTCATGCTATACCTACACAACCTCCTTTTTCACCCTGACACTACCATTTTCATATGTGTAGTCTCCCTCAGTTCTCTTAAGGGCTCCTGTAGTATGCCATCAGGTGAACATGCCACAGTTTACTTACCCATGTCCTGTAAATGGACACTTAATTTATTTCCAATTGTTTGCTATTATGTGGCAGTGCGCATTCTGTTGTGCACCTCCTTGTGCCCACACGCAAGAGTGTCTCTCGGGCATATACCCGACAGTAGAATTGCTGGGTCATATGTGCCTGTTTTAACTTTACAAGAAAAATGCCACTGTGCTCTTCAACAGGGTGGACCAACCTACACTCCCACAGGAATGTGAGTTCCCATCTCTCTACGTCCTTGCCACATTTGGCATATATATATTTGAGACAGCATCTAGCTCTGTTGTCCAGGCTGGCATGATCTTGGCTCACTGCAACCTCTGCCTCTCTGGTTCAAGCAATTCTCCTGCGTTAGCCTCCCAAGTAGCTGGGACTGAAGGTGCATGCTACCACACCTGGCTAATTTTTTCTTGTATTTGTAGTAGAGATGGGGTTTCACCATGTTGACCAGGGTAGTCTTGAGCTCCTGACCTCAAGAAATTCACCTGCCTTGGACTCCCAAAGTGCTGGCATTACAGGCATGAACCACTGCACCTGGCCAGTATTTTTATTCTTTTTTGACATTTGCCTATCTGAAGGGTATGGAATATCACTCTTATTGTAATCACTCTTATTGTAATTTGTGGTTCTCTGGTTATCACTGAGGTTGAACGTCTTTTCTGCAATGAGGCGACTCTTGGTGGGCTCTTGGACAGCTTCAGGATGGGGGCCAGCTGCCAGGGGAACCAACCACATGATTAGAGGGTTGGAATTTTCAGGCCCGCCCCCCCCCCCCCCCCCCCCCCGCCCCCCCCCGCCCCCTGCAACCTTCAGGGAGTAGAGATGGGCTGGTTGACTTGATCATCAATGGCCAATGATTTAATCAAGCATGACTATGTAACGAAGCCTTCATAAAAAACCCAAAAGAACTGGGTTTGGAGAGCCTCTGGATTGCTGAACATATGGAGGTTTCTGGAGGGCTGTGTGCTCAGAGGCATGCAAGCTCTGCACCCCTTTCCACATACCTTGCCCAACGCATCCCTTTGCTGTTCATCTGTATCTTTTGTACTATCCTTTATTAAACAGGTAAACACAAGTGAATGTTTCTGAGTTCTGTGAACCTTCCTAGGAAATTAATTGAACCCAAAGAGGAGGTCATGGGAACGCAATTTATAGCTATTCAGTCAGAAGTATAGGTGACAACCTACTACCTGTGATTGGCATCTGAAGTTGGGGGCAGTCTTGTGGGACTGGGCTTGTGGGATCTGATGCTACCTCCAGATAGTGTCAGAAATGAATTATAGGACACCCAGTTGGCGGCCCCTGGAGAAATTGCATGCTGTGTGGGGGAACAGCCCCCTGACATCTGGTATCAGAAGTGCTCTGTATTGTATTGAGTGTGAAAGTAGAGAGAAAGAAGTTTGTTTTATATATCAGACATTGGTGCCTCCAACGCAAGTTTCCCTTGGTGGCAAATGTGGCCTTGTTAAAAGGCCATGTGATCCTATCAGTGAAGACATCCACAGATTCTTCTGTGACAGCCAAAGAGCTAGAGACTTTGTTTTTTTTTTTTTTTTTTTTTTTTTTTTTGAGAGAGGGTCTCACTCTGTCATCCAGGCTGGAGTGCAGTGGCATAGTCTCAGCTCACTGCAACCTCTACCTCCAAGGTTCAAGCAATTCTCCTGCCTCAGTCTCCTAAGTAGCTAGGACTACAGGCATGTGCCACCACATCTGGGTAATTTTAGTATTTTTGGTAAAGATGGGGTTTGGCCAGGCTGGTCTCAAACTCCTGACCTCAGGCGATCTGCCTGCTTCAGCCTTTTAAAGTGCAGGGATTGCAGATGTGAGCCACCGTGCCCGGCCTGAGCTAGACACATTTAATTAGCTCTGCATGCCCAGATACTCTCACATACACAGGGACACAGGGAGAACAGCCATCATACTGTCACCAACAGACAGAAGCAAAAGTAGGATTTAGAAGAAAAAAGGGAGAAAAGAAATCCTGAGGGAAGAGACTGTGGTTTAACTGTAATGGAAGAAATTCAAATATGTGTTGGATAAATGAACAAACAAGTCACGTGTGCTTTGTATCACAAATTATGAGACATGTAGGAGGAAGGATGGGCTGGCATGAGGTGTCCAGAAACCAGCGCATCCATTCAGAGAGCTGACAGAGAAACATTTCTCCATATTTGGAAATTTTATACCCAAGACTCCCACTGGCACTTTTTAGCAATTTTTAAAGACAGGGAATAAACGTGTCAACATTTATTGAGTATTTACTGTGTAGCCAGCACTGTTTTACAGGCACTACTCAACGTGGTTCTCACAATGACCCCACGAGAGAGTTATTAACACTCATTTCAAGGATAAGGAAGGAACTAGAAGCACTGAGAGGTGAAGCCTTAGGTCACAAAACCAGTAGGGGTGACACCAGCACGGTGATTTTTTTTTTTTTAGGGGAAGGTCTAAGAGTCCTTTGTGAAGGGAAACATTTCACTTTCAAATGCCTAAGCTCCTGCTGCAATTCCAGACATTGGTTTATACTTGCATCTTAGTCACAGTTATTAGTTAGGCATATGAATTTAAAATGAAAGGGAGAAATACTAAAGATTTGAAATTTTAGTTATGTGTCACCTCAAGGGAAAGTTAATTATCATTTCTGTCTGCAACACCTACACACAAACTGCGACTCCAGTAATAAAATGAGAGCTTGGAAAAATAAGCACCTAGAGCTGATGAAAAGAATGCATTTGTCTCAGGGCAGAGGCTGAATATGAAGCCAACTGTTCTTAGAGAGAAACATGTCAATACTAAATCTTTTCACCAGTCTTTGATGGATGTGCTAATCTTCTCAGGTCAACATGGGCTCACCCTGGCAATGTACTGTAATAACTTATTTAAAAGGCAGCTGGCTTTTATAAATGACCTGCTCCATCAGCTTTTAGATTTCATTTTCAGAAATGTATTCCTTTATCAAATCAATATTTGCTGTATATAGTAAGAACTCAACTGTGCATTTTCTACAACAGAGGAGACTGCAGAAGTGACCAGGTTTGGGAATTACTGTTCTTTGCTCTTAATTCTGTATGACATATAAGCTCTGTAGAGATAATGAGATAACAAGAATAAAAATGTCAGGGAGGTGATTTTCATTCCATGAGAGCTGCAGTTGGCAAACTACTATCAGTAAACCAAACCTGGCCTGCAGCCTTTTTTTTTTTTTCTTTTTTTTTGAGATAGAGTCTTGCTCTGTTGCCAGGGTGGAGTGCAGTGGCGTGATCTTGGCTCACTGCAACCTCTGCCTCCTGGGTTCATGTGATTACCTGGCCTCAGCCTCCCAAGTAGCTGGAACTAGAGGCACATGCCACCATGCCCGGCCAATTTCTTGTATTTTAGTAGAGACAGGGTTTCACAATGTTGGCCAGGATGGTCTCGATCTCCTGACCTTGTGATCCTTGGCCTCCCAAAGTGCTGGGATTATAGGCGTGAGCCACC